GCCGTTAAAAGTGTTATAAGCATTTCAATTACTCGAATTATACTTAATTATGCATTTATTGAAAGTGAAACTCTTGATGCATTTCTGTTAATAGATTTCATTTTGGAAAATATTGATATCTTTCAATCATGATTATTTTTAGGATTATGATGATCACTTATTGAGTAGCCAAACTCATCAAACTATGGTAAACATTTTTTCAGGATAATTACGGATTCATTTTGAGTGCTAGTCAAGATTAACCTTGGAAGATAATGTTGTTGTGCTAGCTTTCTTTATTTACTATGTAAGACCTCGCCATTGTAAATTTGTCCTATCAATAGATGTATATATGTTTTGTCCGTCACATCTCAGGAATAATAGTATTGTAAATTCTTGGGGTGTGACAATTGTAGTGTTTATATTAGTTGGGGTATATACGAATTGTAATATATTTCCCATAGCATATATAGTGCTTAGGAGTGAAAATACTAAAAGTTGGACTTGGTTTATGAAGCTCCTCAATGAGCAATTTGAGGAGTGACATGATTTGTCAGCATTGATTGTTGTCTCAAACTATCAAAAGGGGTTTTAAACCACATGTTTTTGTATGTGCCACCTTGCAAATAACTTTAAGAAGGATTTTAGAAATTCAACGCTCACAATACTTTTTTGAAAAGCTATTGCGGAAGGACCATGTCGAAGTTCAAGGAGTTCATGTTGAAGATTAAGAGCGTAGATACTAAGGCATATGAATGGATTGTGAAAAAACCAGTGCATTGTTTAGGCCAAATGCCCATTTCCAGGTAACTAGATATCATCATCTCACATCAAACATATTTCAATCATTTAACAAGCATATATTATGGCCCGAGAGAAGCCCATCATCAAACTCTTTGAATGCCTAATGGTTAAGCTCATGAGCAAATTTGCTAAAAAGAATGACAAAGTTTCTTAGGAAAATTACAAAAAACCCCCAAAACTACACATTCTATGCAACTTACCCCAAACCTAACATTTTCTCTCACTTTTTTCCCAAAAATATACTTTCTATACAAATAACCCCCAACCAAATAAAAAATAAAAAGTACCTAAACTACCCTCCCTTACTTTTACCTTACCCATGCCTCTCTCTCTTCTAGATAAGTGTGCTCCGGCATTGCGTAAGTGCGCTCCAGTAGTGCAACACTCTGGAATCACAACACTTCGGTACTGTCTATGTGCGCTTCGACAATGGATCATGCACTCCGATAGTGAAATATGGAGTCACAACGCTCCGGCAATAGATGTGCACTCCGGCATTGCGTAAGTGCACTCCGGCAGTGCAACACTCTAGAGTCACAGCGCTCCCGCGCTATCTATGTGCACTCCGGCAGTGGATCATGTGCTTTGACACTGTGTAAGTGCGCTCCGACAGTGGAATCTGGAGTCACAATGCTCTGGCAGTAGATGATGTGCTCCGGCAGTACAACACTCTGGAGTCACAGCGCTCCCGCATTGTCTATGTGCACTCTGGCAGTGGATCATGCGCTCCGACACTCTGTAAGTTTGCTCCGACAGTGGAATCTGGAGTCACAACGCTCCGACAGTAGATGATGCGCTCCGACACTGTGTAAGTACAATCAGGCAGTGGATCATGTGCTCCGACACTGTGTAAGTGCGCTCCGACAGTATAATCTGGAGTCACAACGCTACAATACTGTATATATGCGCTCCAGTAGTGGATCATGTGCTCTTGCACTGCGGTGGTTCGCTTCGGCAATGATCTCCAAAAGTCAACGTCAAATCGGGCCAAATTGATTTATGTGTATGGGAACGACATTTCTGTATAAAAAATGAACTTTTTCCCTCGGGGGGTATTTGCATAGAAAGTGTGTATTTTTTGATAAAAATGTGAGAAAAAAACTTAATATCATTTTTGGATGTTAGTTGCTTTAGAAATAGCTATAAGATCTTGATTTGCTAGTTGCATCTTGTTTGTAAACTCAATTTGCTTGCTGTTAATCTCTCCTTGCCTCTCCATCTATGGCCTTTGCATACCCAAGATCCAAGCATCACTAAAAATGCATCCATGCGCAGAGAGAGAGAGAGAGAGAGAGAGAGAGAGAGTAGTTGTTTCG